TTTCATAAGAAAATCTAGAACTTTCTATATATAAGTCCAATTAACTAACTAAACTTAAAATAAAACTATATAATAAACATAAAATAGTTTTATAAAATAAAACTAACATCACAAGAGTTAAGAGTAATTATTTTTGTTATAGCAAGATACACATACTATGATAATTTGCAGATATATTTCTAATAATGGCCACAGGAGGATTAGGACTAGTGTGAGTAATTTTTGAATAATGCAAAGAATATCTTTTAATCTTATGCATGGAAGTAATAGTTATGGCTACACATTTTATTATCATAAGGTACTTTAAAACTGGGTACATGCAAAAAATCAGGAGAATTTCATACTCTTAATCATGTGTTAAATGAATTTTCTATGTAACTACTTATGCAAAATGGAAAATCCAGTGGAGAGCTGGAATAAATAAAACTGTCTCCATAATGCTCCTTTGTTTCATCTTTACTTTCCTCTTTTTTTCCTGGTCCAGTTTTCATAATGTATCCACACTGTAGTTCCTCATTCTACATCCTGTTGAATGTGGGCCCAGTTTTTACGAAACACATTAGAGATATTAATAAGTAAATATTTGTTTGTAAACTTAACTAAACAAGAAGTAACATTTTCTGACCGGAGAGATAGTACAGTGGGCAGGGCTCTTGCTTTACATGCCTCAGACGTGGGTTCAATCCCCCAGCTCCACCTCTGGTCCCCTGAACACCATCAGGAGTGATCCCCAAGCAGAGTCAGGAGGAAGCTTGAGCATTGCTGGATGTGGCCCACAAAACAAAATGAGTAAAAGTTTTCTTACAAAGTTACTTTGTTGGTTATTATTAGAAATTATTAGTTTGTTTTTTAATCTTTTCCTGAAACAAGTCTTTTTCTGAAGCACTTCATTAATACAGTTGGTGGCAGATTATACTTCCTAAAAAATAAAGTACCCTAAGAATTTCTGCTTTAGGTAATAGCAAATTAATTTTTTTTTTTTTTGCTTTTTGGGTCACACCCAGCAGTGCTCAGGGGTTCCTCCTGGCTTTGCACTCAGGAATTACTTCTGGCGGTGCTTGCGGGACCATATGGGATGTAGGGGATGGAACCCGGGTGGTCCGCATGCAAGGCAAATGCCCTACCTGCTGTGCTATGGCTCTGACCCCAATAGCAGATTAATTTAGATTTCACTAATTATCTTCAGATAACAAACTATTTTTTAAAAATAAAGGAAAATATCTTAAAGAAAAAAAACCCAAGAGCAAGCTGGAACAGGAAGAAGGAAAACTGGGAGTTGAAAGAAGCAGTTAAGTCCAGATAAGTCCCAATGTGTGCATTGCTAGACCTGAGTCTGAACACCAGTCTGACCATGTCCCTGAGGACAATCCTGTAGCATGGCAACTGTGACTGTCAGCAGCACAGTAAGGGCGAGAACTCCGGCCTACCACAACAAAGTGTATGTGGTAGCCACAGCTGAAATGGGTGACTTCTGGCAAGCAGCATAACGGAAGTATGTGAATTCCAAATAGAGCAACCCCAAATGGAAGAGAAAGGAAGAAATGTAAAGCTAGATCAAAACAAATTTTCCTGCAGACACGAAGAGTAATGGAAATTGAACAACATAAAACACATACAAACTATACACAACAATAAAAATAGCAACTATGATTTTGTTTTTAGATTTTATGATACAAATGCTTTCTATGTGTATGTATATACCTATGTTAACTTTATATATGTGTGTATATATGTATATATATAATATATATATATATATATATATATATATATATATGAGCAATTCAGGCATGCTAAGTGGCACCGTTCTTACTTATTGTGTTTTGTAAGTAGCACAATATAAATTAGTTCTAAGTACACAGTGAAGAATCAAAGATATATTCTAAATCCCAAGAACAAACACCACAAGACATGATGCAAAGACCCACTGCTGTCAGGAGTCATTCATAACTTTCACCCTGTAAAGATGAACTCTGTGTGGCTCAGCAACTTCTGTGGTAGAACTGAAAACCATAGGATTACAAACACTTTTTGAATCAAAAAGAAAATTTTGATGGACATAGATTTTATTTTATTTTATTTTTATTAGTGGGACATCATGAGGTACAGTTGCAGACTTACAAATTTTTGTGCTTGGGTTTCAATTATACAATGATCAAATCCCATCCCTCCACCAGTGCCCATTTCCCACCACCATGGATCCCAGGATCCCAGTATCCCTCCCACCGCCCATCCCCCCCTCTGTGGCAGGGCATTCCCTTTTGTTCTCTCTCTCTTATTGGGTGTTGTGGTTTGCTAAAGAGGCAATGGGTGACAATCATGTTTGGTCTATAGTCTACTTTCAGCATGGACATAGATTTTAAAATATGAAACACAATATGGAAGATATATATAAGAAAAATACTTATTAAAAACTTTAAATGTATGTGCTTTGAAAATGCCTGCTCATTTGATATAAATTAAGATCTTAAAGTGATAAAAAAAAAACTTCCTGATGAACAATTGGCAACCAGATACCGGAAAAACTTCAGATTTTAAAGACAAAATAAGGTACAACATAATTACCTCTCTCATATATGGACTTAAAGGTATAGAGCAAGGGAGCAACAAATTGTCAGAAGTGACAGAACTGGAGAGCTGTGTGTAAACTCAAAAAGAGCACAGCAGCGGCAGCCATCTGTCCCGCCGCCAGTGTTCGGTAGTCTCACCCACTTCCCCCACCCCGGAGAGGTCGGTGGCAATGGGCAGGCGAAGGAAGGAACAAGGGCCAGGCTGGTTGATGTCAGTTGCAGTTTATTCCAATCCTCTCTCCATCCACTGCTATCTCTCTCCTCTGCCTCTCCTCCTGCTTCTTCCTCCCCCATGCTACTTCATTCTCCTTCTCAATCCCCCTTCATCTTCCTTCTCTGGAGTCTGGATTCTGATTCTGATCCCCCAGCCCACTCTTACAGTCTAGTTAAATCCCAAAGCATGAGGGGTTGGGGTAACAATTACACATAGGTGCAATCACAATCAATAGGGGTAGAATTCTTTCCCTCCGGGACATCTGCTCCTAAGACAGATCCTCATTATCAGATCAATCCACCCTACAGTGGATTCCCCTGGGTGTGTTTCTCCTCTCCTTGTCTAACATATAAGCTTATCTAATATAAATCATTTTGTATGGATACAGTAAGAAATACCTTAAACTTATAGAATTGCCTTCCTAGAGCCATCTCGATCTCAGACTACAGTGCTCAGGCCAGATAGTTTTTCCTACCCTAAGCAGGGTCCTACTGTCGTTGTTACTTTTGGATCATGACAGCATTTGTCTATGATCAAGCTCTTATAGTTAAGAATTGTGGCACTTTGGCCTCACCCATTTCAATGCCAGGGTAGCTCACCACTTGCCCTGTGTCCATTCAGTCCCTTGTCAGGACCCTGATTTGGGGGTGTTAGGAACCACGGGCAACTGAGGCTTAAGTCGAGAAAGCAGATGCCCGGGAGTGAATAATATTCAAAGCCAATTAAATCCCAAGTTACAAAAGCATAGTATTAACTGTCTTTCTGTATCTATACAAAAAGGACATTGCATAAAGTAAACTATTCAAAAGACATTAGGAGAGGAGAAAGGCAATATTTCACTCATACATATAAAATCATAGATTTCTGAGAAATCTAACCTTACAAGTTAACAGAGTCTGATTAGGGGGAAAGCTGATTAACTGGTTGGGGAGGAGAGCATAGGGAAGAATTTACAGATAAACACAATGGAATGTAAGTGCTTCAGGAGCACTGTAATGGGTGTAACCTGATAAACCTAAGTTCCTTGTGGAGAAAGGGAGAAAGGACAAAACAATGTCATCCTAGAGAGCCATTCCAGAGAAATGACAGTGGGTATGGGGTTGTGTAGTTGAAATGGAGAGGCCTTAGGTCTATGGTGGATGGGAGTGGGGAAGTAGGTTCTCCAAAGGTTGCTGTGGTGTTTGAAAGATGCATCTATGCATGAAACCATCACTAACATTATTGCAAAATATAGTACCTCAATGAAGATTTAATAAATTAAAAAGACTTTAAAAAGTACAGGATAGAGAGAAATGTGCTTAAAATTATTGGCTAATAGGAAAATGAAAATTAAGATCAAGATGAAATATTAAGCATTCTTGAAAAATTGACTTCATTCCCTTTGTTTTTTTTTTGTTTGTTTTTTTGTTTTTTGCTTTTTGGGTCACACCTGGCAATGCACAGGGGTTATTCCTGGCTCTGCCCTCAGGAATTACTCCTGGTGGTGCTCAAGGGACCATATGGGATGCTGGGAATCGAACCCGGTTTGGCTGCATGCAAGTCAAACACCTTTCCCGCTGTGCTATCGCTCCAACCCCCTCATTCCCTTTGGAATAGGAAAGATAAAACTCAGTGCCAGCTATGTTGTAGAGCAACTGGTACTCTCAAGACTCCTTGATTCTCTGTAGTTCTTCATAGCCCCTGATTTCCATAGTAATAATTCTGAAAGAAAGATGCTAGAAGAGAACTTTATCAAACAGCCATGTCTTTACTATAAGTATTTTCTCAGTCCCTACTGACAATAGTTTTTAAAGAATAACTTCATCACATATAAGTTTAGAGTGATTGGACATTTATACAGATAAGGGTTTATGCTACATTCTTCTCAGTCTTGGAAGCTGTCTATTCATTATTCTTCATCTTTGTATATATATATAAAATTTAAAAAATATAAATAAACGTATGAGCTTTTGCTTGAGTTTTGTATGGATCTAATGTTTACAGAAGCTCGTTGACTTTGAATATTTAGGTTGATTTCTATATCTCAGTGAAGCAGTGTGCTTCATTGAAATTCTTTGTACATATATCATTTTCTACTTATGTGAGAGTATTTAAGGATTGTTCATAAAAGTAGTGAAGTACATATATACCTACAATTTTCTTGAACCAACTGAAGATTAGATCAAAACAATAATTTTGTGTTACAAAAACAAAAATAAATCCAAGCAAGTAATGAAGTGCTCGCCTCGGCAGCACATATACTAAAATTGGAACGATACAGAGATTAGCATGGCCCCTGCGCAAGTAATGAAATAAACATTTTTAAAAAACTGTTCCATCTTGGGTTCTTTGTCCTAGAATTTAGGTAACAGTTCAAACTTGGGTTGCGTCAACACTTTCTTCTGGATGTTATGAATTTCCATCTTGTAACCATGTTTTTCTAATTCAGCACGTAACTAATTGGAAAAGTCATCCTCTATATTGTCATCATACCAATTATCCTCCCAGACATGCGCATCTTTGTCTTCATCTAAACCAGTCCAGTCTTCCGCTGGGAAATCCTCGAACTCGTCATCCTCCTCCAGGAGACCCAATCCTACTGGTTGCTTTTTCTCTGACGTCGCGACCCTCTCGCTGCCACCGGTCCCAGGCCAGTCACAAAAAGGCCGAACTCTCCTTGGGGTACTGCCACGGTCGCCTCAGAGACCGGGCTATACCTACAAGTTTTTAAAAAACAGATTTTCAAATTACCTTGCATGATACTTGTACCCTTTGACATTCCTATCAGCAGCTTATGAGAGGTTGTTAATATTGAAAAAAAAGCTTTAATTTTCCGTGGCAAGAGTTCATCCTTTCCTCATGTTCAGTAGCAAAGCCAGGCAGGTTTTGTGAACCTGAAGCTCCTGGGGTGGTACAGAGGGAGAGACTGTTACGGGGCTTGGAGCATGCCCTGAGTGAAAGTTCTAAATGCCTTGCAGTAAGCCACTGTGAGCCTATGCACCCACATGGGATTGAGGAATTTTCCTGGACTCATCACCACCTCAGCTGTGGTGAAATCTGAGAAGAAATCTGAATCTTTTTGGAGGAGGTCTTTTTCTAATATACCTATGTGAGTGGAGGAGAAGAATGAAGTAAGAACTTTGGTCAGTTATCTCTATTGACAATGTCCAGATTAATTTTATTGGACATAACTTGGGGGTGGTATGTTCCAAGCATGGACTGGTACAGGTCAAGATGCTGCTAGCATCCTAAAGGACATAGGCTCAAAGAATTAGCTCTTCTCAAAAATCAATAGTGTGACATTCGGAAGTCCTGAGGTTTGTTGGCATTCACACAGGGGGAAAGGGAAAGAAAGAAAAAGAGGAGTGGGGAGGGAGGGCAAGGAAAACAAAGACACTCCTTTGAGTGTTAAGTACTAGAACCACCACTAGTGGGTAGAAATTTAAAGTCAAGAGGCAAATACTTCAGAGATGTCATGAGACCAAACCTAAACTATTCATAGCCAAAGAAGTGCCAAATATGTTACATCATAGATGTGTCAGCTGACACTTGGAGCAATCATCAAGCATATTGTAATATATAAATGTATTGGACCAACAAGTTGTGCACCTTAAACTTACTCAGTGTTGTTTGTCAATCTGTCTCAATTAAACACTATTACGGCATCAGGAGAGTGAACGTGCACTTTTTTCCCCTTTTTTTACAAGTTTGTGATTGGCTTATTATTATTATTATTATTATTATTATTTTGAGTCAAGCTGATTGTGTTTAGGGTTTACTTCTGACTGTGCTTGGGGATCACTGCTGGAGGACTGTGGGAACCAACATATGAGCTACTGGTGACTGACCTGACCTTGGTCCGGTACCAAGTACCTTAACCCCTGAACTATCTCTCCAGTCCCAACTGTGCATGTTTATTTTCAAAACACCAGTAAATGGTATATCATCATTTTGCCTTTGTAAACAACAGCTGTCACTATACTATAAAACCCACAAAACATTGCTGAGAGAAATGACTGTACATGTTAAGCATTTATCATGAAATATTTACTATCAGGTGCCAAAACAATGTAATCTTTAATATTTACTTGAAGTAAGTTGTTCAACTCACTGTTATTTCTTTGGCTGCTAGCTTAATAGATTTATTTTTCTATTTTTATTTTATCTTTTGAAGATATTTCTCAATTCTGGCAGGTAGGTCTTACTTGTATTTGCTTTCTCACTGGATGGTGAACGATTATGGTAGAAAGATGAATACTAAAACAGGGGAAGGTGAGGACAAAGTTTACGCTGGCTGTTGTCCTGTCTATACTGGGTGCTGACACACTCTGGGAATACAGAGCAGCTGTCCAAAAGATGACCCCCATCTTGGTCTACTAAACACCCTCACACAGCAGCATATATAAAGATTGTTGGCTCCTTTCCATATATTAGAAGATACTTTCCATAGGAAACTTCTCAAAGCATGGATGAGTAACTGAATCTCCCAGGCACTCTGCCATGTTGGTTTCCTGATCTTAGCAGAACACCTATCTGGAGTGGGTTCAACCTCTGCAAGAGACCTAACAGCTTTTGGCCCTCATGTCTGTGAATAGCTCTGCAAATGACCAGCGTAAGCCTTTAATGAGGAAAGGGAATAATGAAGTTGGTGGACTGATACTCTCTCCACGACTTTAAGTCTTCTCAAAGGACAAAAGGCTGAAGGTTAGACAAGAATATAACAAAATAAAGAACATGGAAAAATCCATGTAAATATAGTCAGCTGATCTTAGAAATACTTGCTCTTGGAGTTCACCCTCTATAATGCAAGGAGTCCCAAATGCATTGTCTCAAAAATTCTATATGTAAAACCCCAAATGCAGAGGTGATATCGTTAATGTTGCAAGAGAATTTGGAATATGTCTGTGACCTCTGTTCTCGGGGCTTGCTCACTATATTCTATACAACTTCCCCTGTTTTGTCTCCAAACCCACCAATTACTTCTGCAGTCTATGTGTAATCCACATTACATGCACCAATTAAGCTTTATTACTAGCGATGACATCTTTCTTTCCTTTCGGTTTGAACATTTTTCAGATCCACCTTGAAATCTTCAAAGTATTGCTGTTTGATATTTTATTCCTTATTTTATTTTAAAGATATTTTTGCAACCTTCTGTAAAACCGTCATTTTTATAATTTTAATATCTGAAGTTTTTCAAGCTGAGTATTTTTATTGAATTGTTTCTTCTGGTTATTATGCCTTGATGGCTTGTTTCCTTGGTATAAATGCCCTTCTCCCTTATTCTCTATACTTACTCACCAAAATGCTGAGCCCACAATTTAAAATGTGTATTAAAAAGTCTCCTATTGAGTTCTTGACTTTTTGTGAGTTCTAGGCTTAATTTCCTAATTTTAGACCAGAGCTGGCACTTTCCCAAAGAAAACATAATTTTTATATGAGAAAATATATTTCCCTATAATTTATTCTTTTTCCTTCTCTGTAAATTTTGAATACGTTTACTGTGCAGTGTATTGTTTTGACTCATCCCTGCATTATTGTGTTTGGTTTAGTCTATCATATTGCTAGAAGGAGAAGCCCAACTAAATCCTTAAATTAAAATGTACAGATGCAATAGATACTCACATATATCTATATCTATATCTATATCTATATCTATATCTATATCTATATCTATATCTATATCATCTATATCTATATCTATATCTATATCTAACTATCTATAGACAGACCATTTAATGGAAAACTAAGTGATGGTTTACAGTTTTACACTAACAAAATGTAGAATGAGGAGTTCTTCTACACAAATAAGGAAATTGAAAACTAGGCTGACAAACTGTAGTCCAATTGTTAGTTAAAGTGGAAAAATTTAAATCATTGGAAAGGGCAGGAGGCTAAAAAAATCAGAGTTCATAAATTTATAATTTTCTCTCAGCTTTACTCTTTAATGATTATATATTCCTTTCTCATACATCTCTAATTGTACTTTTAGCAGAAGTTGGATAATAAAAAATGGATTATAAAAGTCACTTCAAACACTACCCTAGTTCTTGACTTAAAAAAAAATCTTAGATCCAAGAAGTTAGCAGTAATTATACTTCTCACACAGAGGGATTAGATAATTCTTTGAACTTTAGGCTATTTTCTGCCTAATATGGGGCTGGAGCGATAGCACAGCGGGTAGGGCGTTTGCCTTACAAGCGGCCAACATGGCAGACCCGAGTTCGATTCCTCCGCCCCTCTCGGAGAGCCCGGCAAGCTACCGAGAGTATTCGATATGCCAGACACAGTAACAACAAAGTCTCCAATGGAGACGTTACTGGGCCCGCTCGAGCAAATCGACGATCAACGGGAGGGCCTTTACCTTTACCTTTATGGAATAAACCATGGCAGCAATGGTTAGATTATTTTTGCCCATTTCAGCCTTTGAGAGATCATCAAGGACACTGACTTTCTACTTTCATTCAACACAGGTTCGTTATACACAGTTTCTAGGACAGCTGAAAGATGAAATCTGAGTGTAAAAAATTAAATATTTTCCCTCCAATGTTTTGTTTTATTTTGGGACCACAGCCGGCAGTGCTCAGGGCTTACTCCTGGCTACATCATCAAGGGTTACGTCTGGAAGTGCCAGAGAGACCATGGATGGTGCTGGGATGGAACTGGAGTTGGCTGCATGCAAGACATTATCTCTCCATCCCTAGAACTTAAAAATAACAAACCTCAAATATAATTATGAGACACTAAGAGAAGCAGCAACAGCAATTCAATTTGGGAAGGTGGAAAATAATATTGATTACTGGTTTCATGACTTCCAGATGGCCTTGTGGCTTTTAAGGAGAATGTGTATATTCCCAGATGACGGGGAAACTATTCTATAGCAGATTCTTCTACTAGCTGAGAAACTCGCCCACTAGGTATATCAGAACAGGACAAAGAACAAACTAAGGAAAGCTAAAGAAGAGGCATGATAAATATAGCCCTTAGTGGAAGACTCTCGTTAGGGTTGTTTTCATATAATAAAGAAATACTACAGAAGGCAAAGAAGGAATGAGGGAGGAGAGGGAGATAGGGGGACGAAGGTGAAGGAGAGGGAGAAAGGGAGAATATACTGTAATAATATCAACAGTTTCATATTCAGTTGCTGTCACTGTAACCAATTATAAAGAAATACATCTGCATAAGGAGCAACTTATACTGTGGTTTGGTTCCATGAAATAACTTGGGCAACCACATGGAAATTCATATTTATACAGAGGCCCCAAAGGTACCAGCGATTCAATTTCTGCTTCCTCAATTTTCCTCATTGGATATGGTACCAATAGTGAAAACAATAAAGTAA